TTCACCGCTGTTTACAATGTATGAAGAGCAAAAGAAAGAGAGAAGAAAGAAGGCAGAAAGATTCGAGTCGGAGAGCTAGGGAATTACTGCTGAGAACTTACTCTGTTTGTTATACGTAACTCATCGCCCCAGAGAATCCTGTATCACATGTTCACGCTTTCACTAATAACCCATATAACCTGTAACCAGCTGGCATACCTCTTAACGCTGTGTGGCTTGATACCTGTCTGTCACCCTAGCTTTACTGGCTAGCATATTATTAGAGATAAACTGAACTTTTGACAGTGCCTCAGGCTTTTGCTCAGGTGATGTCCCGCGGCTGCATGGGCAAGTGGGGACTGAAGGCCTCCTGGTGTGCAGGGCCCAGTAACACCAGTGTCCTTGTGCTTTGCCTAGAAGCAAAAGTCCTGAAAAGAGAGGAGCCCCTGCATCAGGACTGTGGCTGCTAGGTAACCTCCCAGAGGCGAAGGCAGCATCATGGCCCTCCTGCATCGGTCAGAAGAAAATTGAGGTGAAGGATCTTTCCTCCCACTGATGTGTGATCTCTTGGGAAGATAAAGCATTTGACATAGCATGTCAAAACCGGTATCCTCTCACTTTTCTCGCCCCTTCCTAGGTCAGGTGTCCAAAGAGGGCGTGTTGTGTGCTCAGGAAAAAACTGAGACAAGAAGCCTCTTGGGCATTAAAAGAGAGGGGGAGAGAGAGAGGTTGAAATGACAAAATAACATCTTTAGATTCTTCATCTCCTTCCTCTCTTCCCCTCCCACATGCTAGTCCTCTATTAGGTTTTCCGACAAAATCAGATATTTTTTGTCCCCAGCAGCCCAGATCTCCAGACACAACACTCAGTGTTTTTGATGATCTCATAGCAGTCTCCAGAGCAAATCATAATTGCCACAGAATTCACCATTTTTTGCTAGAATAATTCCTTTATTTTTCAGCATCCTGGCAATCAGATCACGACTCTAAAGCAGCACAAAGACATCAGTGATCCTACCGCTCTCACATTGCTTTCCAGGGGTGCAGCTCTACTCCAAAAAGAGCAGAACCCTCTTTCTCTCTATGTCCCCATTTATTGCATCCCACCCCTTTCTGCCCTGTCTCGCTGCAAGTAGGGAGTACAAAACTGGTAGCAGGAGATTAAATTTAGGTGGGCACCTCTTTGTTCCCACAGACAAACACAGACACAAACTAACTGTTATACCTCAAAGCTACTTTCCAAAATATAAAATTATTACTATTATTGATAGCAGTTACTATTATATATAGCAGTTTTTTAGTTTTCATTTTAAGTAGTTCCTATAGCAGTAAGTATTCCTGGGCATTGTTAGCATCTAGGAAGATCTGACTGGGGAGCAGAGGCAGTTGTCCTCCAATGGGGGTGAATTCACTTTATTTTCTTTATCTGGAATGAGGTAGAACTAAGTTATGGATCTGCCACCTTTGTACTTTGCAAGAATACTGGGACAAATCTAAGATGGGAATATGCCTGTTCCTCTTAACTGTCAATCCGTGAGTGTATCAAATTCAGAAAAAGGGAACAACCCGTAAAGAAACTTTACTCAAGGTATCTGAGCTCTGAGATACTTTATTTTCTGAGACATGAGGGGGATACATTTATACATTCCAAATTGCATCAATTTAGTTATCAATTTTATTAATTAGTAAAACAAATTTAATGTACTCCAAGATGTGCATTATTCAATCAACGTCAAATGAGGCTGTCAGAGAAACTCTTCCAATTCATTGACACATTAATTATACCTTTTCAGACTGCAACAATTTGGATTGAAATTTTTTTCAAAATTGAAAGTTTTTCAAAATTGAAATTTCCAAGAACTTTATTTGTTTGATATTTGTTACAATAGTAGAAATCTTAGATCAAATCCATAGAGTTTCCCTCTCTCATCTTTCTTCGGCCACAGGCAATGGAGGACTAAATAAAGGAGAAATACTAATCAGAAGAAACTGATTAGACAGTTACACTGGGAAATAAGGCAACACCCTAAATATGTTACAGCATAAATCGGAGCACTGGGTAAACCACTGTTTTTTGGTTCATTGGTTAAACTAGAAAAAAAATTACATCTGGCTTGACCCAAAATAAATTTGTATTTTTTTCCAGTGAAATTAACATTTTAAAGAATGGTTTCTCTTGGGCTAAACAATGATTTTGAAATTGAGCATGTTAGTATTTTTGTGGTTTTCCTGAGCTTTTGAAAGTCAACAGGAAGCAGGAGATCAGTGTCTCATTCAGGGCAGATCTATCTAGCAGGAGCAGGCTGGCTGGCACTTTTGCCTCAGTTCTGACTGGGACTGCCTTGCCGTGCCGCACAGGTTCTGCTATGCTTCCCCACATAAATCACGCATGTTTCTTCTTATGGTTTTGCTCAATAAATGTAATGATTTTTCCTGGTTTTTTTTTCCAGGGGAACTTGCTATTTTTTCATTAGCTCAAACATACTGTTTTTTTAAAGGTGGGAAAGGTTTTTACACTGCACATGAGCTAAAGGTATGGAAGGGAGGTAAGCTATGCAAGTGGCTTCACCCTAGAGGGTCAATTGCATTCAAGAGCATAGTAAATCAGAAGAAAATGGAGACTGAACACTGGAAAAAAATATTCAGTAGATACTATGGCAAGTCTTGTCCTTTGGGTCAAATAAGAACGGTTACAACACTCTCAGCATAGCACAGGGAATAGTTAGGCATTTACAGAAAGATGGGATATAATATGTAGATCTTTGACATTTCACATCTATGTGATGCTATGAAATCCTTCTCTGGAACAGTTTAATAAGCCAGAATTAATAGTGCACTTTCCCATGAAAATGCAAGACCATTTCCCTTGCTAAAGTTGTCTGGAAGAGAAATATTCCCTTTGAACAAACCACAGGAGGAAGCACAAGCAGAAACTTTAGCCAATCATTTAGAAAGTATAAAAATTAAATAACTTCTAGTTTTTTGCCCTGTGTCAAAGATGCATGAGGCTGTACCTCAAAATAGCTTGCCTGTATGCTTTGTAACACATGCTGGAATTTCCCTTCCCTTTCTCCACGCTCACTTCACCTCTAAATTCAAACACTGATGAGCACAATCTGTACAAGATTATGATATTATAGTAAAACTGCAGATAATTTCATTCTCTGGCTAAAAATATGTTCAGTTATCTTGATATGTATGTTGCCCACCTTGTGTTATACCTTGCTATTAGAGCATTTATAGGTTTTTTTAGATAAATACTTTTTCCAAAGGGTACTATAGGGTACAGTCATACTGTTGAATAGCATCACTCATTCATTTAATTACTTCAATGAACCTTTTAAAAATTCTGCATCCCATTACTCAGATATTAGTTTCTTCAACCCCATTGAGTACTGAAGCCAGAGAGCTGCAAATGACATGCATGTCAGAAAACGAGGACATTTCTTCGACTGTAAGCACCTAACAGCCCCTCTGATTTACAGCTTTTCACTTTAACATTTACAGTGTTTATGGCCATTTGTATTTTACTAGTGAATCCTGAATGTCTCACAAACTAGAAAAAGTAATGTAGCGTTAGTCAGCACGCATAGTTAGCATACAGTTTCAAAGGGAGTTTACTCATTCTGGAGTAATTGTACACCTCTGTCTTTGCCTGCGGTCTTCCCTATTCATTTTTGCAGTCACAGACTTTTGGAGTTTCCTTTCTCCAGACACTGACCAACTTTCATACCTGATTGATTGCTATTTAATAGATTGTTCGAGGGTAATCTACTGTTGCCAGTCCCAGTCTCCAAATACGGTCTTACTCCTCAATCTTCTGCCTTGCTTTGCAGCTGTCATAACTCTAATCATGTAAGTATTATTCAAACAGGCACAAGATTTAGTTGTTTAGACTGACCTGCCTATATCTGTAAATGACTAATGGGTTTTGAAATGCATAGTTCATATGTGTTTTTCCTTAAATGCCCCTACCATCTGCATTTTGGCTGCCTAGGAACATGATTCTTTTTCTTTTCTTCCTTATGAACGGCACTGTGTCTCTTTTGATGAAGTTGGCTTCTGATGTGGCAGCAGAACCACGCACACTGGTCTGTTCCCACCGTCAGCTACTCTCTGCTGTTATGAAAGTCCCTGGACCTGGAACAGTATCATCAGCTAAGTTAGAAATTGCAGGTTTCTGAGATGTAGCTAGCGATACCAACAGCAAAACTCATGTTATCTTCCTGGCTTGTTGTTTGAGCTGCACTGTGTACTTAAAAGATAAGGGCTAAGTAGTCAGTGTATTCCCTGAGTCTTAGTCTATCTACTTGGAGGATTTACAGTAAAGCTAACATTTATTGCCAATATTGATTGACTGTTTTGATACTGATACCCACTTAAGACCAGCTGCTGCATTCACATAAGCTGTCACAAGACACCAGAAAAATAATGTCAGTCTCTGTCAACCTGTGCTGGATGGTAACCAATAAACTAAACAGAGAAAATTGCGTGTTCTGACCACTTATCCCCTGTGCTGCCCAGGTCCTCAAAATGGCATCTAAGTGTGCTGGATGTTTAATAATATACCACTTCACTCAGGTGTTTGACTGGGCAAGGGGACTTGTGCCAATGAACTTAGGTACTTATTAAAAAATTCCCACGCAACTTTTAAATGAGAAAGAAGAAAAGGGGAAAAGCCTGTCAGTCTGTCCGACCACCTGACCTTGCAGCCCTGCCATGCTGTATGCTGCTCTTAGGCCAGCAATCAACATTTGAAGTTTTTTCTACATTTTGTATCATATAAACCCTGAAGCTACAATTTACTATAACATTTCTCCATGCACCTTCTTTCTGGAAAGTAGTTGCCAAAATACAAGGTATTATGCACATTATGCTCACTAAAAAAAAAAAAAAAAACATTCTTCTACATGAAACCAAGGGAGAGAATCTTCCAGTTCAAGCAAGATATGTAGGCAGCTTTATTCAATTGCTGCAGCTATTAAAAAAATGGTGGATAGATTTACATACCTGATATAACCTGGCAACTTCAGCTTCCTTTCAAAGCTGACTGGCAATTTTCAGAAGAGTGTGGGGTAACCAAGGAACGCCAGCTGGAAAGATAAATATCCTACGAAGGCAAATGAAAAAAGACAAGCACCAGGCTTAACTTTCTAGGTTTAATAGAAGTGAATTTAGAGTGTCCTTGCCTGCTAACTGCCTGGCATTGATGGTTTCATGGAGTCATTGCTATCATCATTCGTCTTCTAGAGAAAAAACTTTTTTGTTAGCTATGTTGTTGCAGTTAGGTTTCCAAAAAGTATTCAGTCATTGACTCAACATCCAAGAGTCATCTTTTTAAGAAAAAATAGCAAAGCTCAACAAACCCTATTGACCAATATCCAAACCTTTTATGGCTCAAAGGGCAGGGCTAGAAAACTTTCCACAATTTCTAATGTGATTTTTTCCAACTTCTTCCAGCAGAATTTGGGGTAAGAATGATTTTAAAATATCTTTGGTGAAGTTACATTTTAACAGAAAATCTTCCTTTATCTGAAGAGCTGTGCTCACAAAGGGTGATTGTTTTCTTTATGGCAACTGGACTCCCAGCATGTGCTTTTTCCTCCGAAGGCCTACTCCCTTCTCCACTACCCTATGAAGCACTCCAAAAAAAGCTCTTTTAAGACACTGTGCCGCATGTCTGGGTCATGCTATTTCATGTTTTAGTCAATGTTCTCCTCTACTCTGAATAAGCATAATTTTAGTAGGAAAATGAAAACTTAAGTTCCCGGTTAGGTCTGCTGCTTTGTACAAGCGAAGCTACGAGGTGCATTGGATTAAGCTACCTGAGTTTTTATGATATCTGTTGAAATGTATGGCTTTAAATCTCAGTCGGATACTTTGCTCTGTATGTATCTTATTTTCCTTTCTGGTTCATTCACTTACAATTCCTATGCGTTTAGACTATCATTTGCAGGGTTTCATTTGCAGAGCCATCTCTAATAACACAACCAGTACTCTTGACGGTATTTTACTCTGCTAGCTTCACTGCTAAACAGCCACATCGACATAAAAGGTTGCATTTGGTGCAAGCTACTGTGCAACTGACTGAGTTGCTTAGAAATGCTCTATGATACCAAGCAACAGTATTAAAATTGCTGTTGGATGTAAAGTTAGGGAAAAGTAGATGAGAAAAAAAATACTCCACCATGGAGTATTGTCATAACACTTAACTGGGAATGCAAACACAGCTTACATGAAAGCTTTGAATGTAGCTGGTGTGGTCCTATATTTACATAGTAGTGGTCTGTTATAAACCTTCTCCCAGAGAAAAGCAAAATAAAATTGCTGGAACCATTATCTTAAAATAGCATTTTGTTGTTATTGTAGTTCAAAATAAATGTGAGTGTTAAATCCTCTACTACCATATGGAGTGGTCCCACTTTCCTGACCCTCCCTGGCAATGCAAATTATCTGAGCTCACAAATTTTACAGTATATCCATGGGAAGATCTTAAGTTTGGATTTCTACTGCCTTTGTAAAAGGCAGTATTTCCTATCTGAGTATTTCCTATTTTGGAGACTTCATAATATGCTGCATAGAAAAAAACGTGCATTTCATACTAGTATCAACAGAAAATCTGTTAGCATCCTGCTATATAGAGAAACTTTCAGAAATGTGTAATTCTTCTCTGTGATCTGCATTAAATTCAGACTTCGTCACGTCTCCTCCAAGATGCTGCACATCTTTCCTCTTCCCTTCTCCACTACCCAATTTCCTCCTAATTCTCCTATTGCACCTTTTAACTCACATGGCCTTTGTTTGTAGCATTAAAGATCCGTGGCTGTGACTACCTTGAGAGTATCACCATGAGCCATTCACCGAACCAAGAGGGGTATAGAGCAGTACAGATGTATTTCTCTCTCAAAGCTGTTTACCTCAAATAAGCACGGGTATATGCTTGCACTTGCCAGTTCAGGTTCTCTGCTTCTGCTACTGCTGATCCCATGAACCACTGTCAGGCAGAGGCTCTGCCTAGTTTTGAGTAATCAGAGGTTGTCATCTCTAGAAGACAAAGCCTAAAGTTGTGGAACCAGCCATTCGAGCACTATTTCTATTTCCTCCTGACCCTCCCATACAGTCTTCAACAGACCTCTGTGAAAGGAGAAGTAACTCCTTTCAGTGCTATGAGAGAATGCTGCTTCTTCACTGACACGTGTGTGGAAAAACATGCAAATTCTCTGGCAATGTCCCTCTGTGCATTTCTATTCAAATATGCAATTGAGAGGAAAAACTTGCAGTAGTGCGATAGCAAATACATTGACTGCATATAAATATAATAAACTTAGCATCTCTAAAACACTCTACGTGAAGCGATATAACCTTTTCCATTTACCTGCCTTCTCCTATATGCCCAGGAGAAAAGGTGGGTTTTGCAGACTATCCAGAAATCTGAAGACTGTGAAACTAATGGAGGACCAAGAGCGAGGTCAGCGAACAGGTGTAGAGATCCTTGCCAGCAGTCTTCATCACTCTCAGCCAGGAAGACTTTAGCATGAGTCTTTAATTGTGCATATTATCCATTATTCTAAGGCAGCCTTAACTCCTCCTTTCCTTTCCAGGCTGCTGGAGGAGCTGGAGTCAGAGTGCAATGGAGTTAGGCAGCCAGACCTGCAAACTCTGAAGTGCTCCTCTGCCCACTAACACAGACTTAAAACCACTGCTATAGACATAGAGCCTTGAATAACTTGGTCCCCAAGCCGCTCAAAGATTTGTATGTTAAAACTGACTCGCTGGACTCTGCTTGTGTTTTTGCACATCACTACAAGGTACGCTATATAGTGACGGAGTGATACACTTACAGACAAGGTCCACGTCACGGTGGTTTGCTTTCTGAAGAATCTTTCTGCAGCTAGGTGATACCTGCACAGCAGCTCCCCAGTCCTCCTCAGCACAGACGGGCAACCTGAAATCCCAGGAAGTCTGTGCTTTAGTTGGGACTATTTTCAAAGATAGAGCAAATTTTCAAAATTAAGTTGTAAGAGAAAAGCCATACAATACTGTTAGGACTGTGTAATTCAAAAAAAAGTCAGAAAAAGACCAGACATAAAGGTTCCTGGTCAAATCTGCAAAATCTGTAAAACAGTAACACGTGTTTATCCTAATTCATGGAGTATACAGAGAAGGAATATTATAATGCATTAAATCTGTGCAATGCGGCCATGCTAACAGTGACTCTTAGGTTTTCCTTTTTGGCTCCTGATCTGCTGTAACTGCTGCACCTTCTGAACTGCATGGACATAGATGTTTGAATTTGACTTAGAGAAGGGCTATCAGAATCCTGTGATGTTTCAAAGTTTGACAGCCTGCACAATTCACGTCAGAAATTTCTTTTTCTGTACAGTAGTTGCTAACAGGAACATAACAGCCTCCTACTGTTTTTGTGCATGTTTAGTCTCTGAACAGCACGAAGACATTGACGAGTGACGAATAGAAGCCCCTTTTTTATTCCTCTGAAGCTCTGCTAGTGTACTTTTACTCTAAATTATGGGACAGCTTTTTCTCTGGCTGATGTCCTGCGGTTAGTGAACCTGCACATGGGATGGAAGGTAGATGGAAGAAGCTGGTCAGGAGCTAGATACAAGCATTTTCCATGCTACTAGTTCATTAACAATGTCAAGAGCATTAAATCAAAACATTGCCGTTTGATTATTTTTCCCCACCTAACACTGTCAGCTACTTAAAAATAGGTTTAAGTGCATTTGTCCAGGACCAGATGGGCTCAGATATCTTCAGACTGAGGATACTTGATGCAAGTGCAGCCAAGGTCATACAAGAGAGAGACTTATTTGACAGGTCCATTCACAGTCCTTGCCTAGTCCATACAGATCCATTTAAGGACATAATGCCTTCTCATTTGGACTGAACAGTTTTTTACATCATCTTGTTAATATTTTCTCCTTTATTTTCTTTAAGACTTAACTGGTCACAGCCGAAAAAAGGAAAAAAAAAACAAGCTTCCTGAAACATACTTTTTGGTCTAAAGTTTACAAAACCCTCTCATGGTCATTTTTTTGCAAGAATGAATACAGTGGTGGAAATATTTCAATTTGGATTTTGGGGTTGTTTCACCTACCTAAGTTGCCGCAGGTGATACAGAATGTCCACAGCTTTGATGTCTAAGTGGAAATCAAGAGACCAACCGCTGCAATATGGGTCAGGATGCAGTGGCAAAGCACTGTATATTAACTTGTATCATCATAGTTTTTGATGCAGCTTTTCCAAAGAGACAAAAGATTTCGCTCTCCAGGAGGGGGCATCCGGTAATGTTCAAAAGGATTGTGTTCTTCAAAAGTCATTTGAAAAAAAAATCAGCATAATCTCTTTTGAAAAAACCTGATGCATGTACAAAGTTACACAAGGTAAAAGTAGCTATGTGCACTAGCCTGTTTTTGCATTAAAGACCTGTCTATTTGGTTTTTTTCCCTACCTGAGCCAACTCAGTTCTGACTGTAAAAGTGGATAATTTTTTTTAATTGCAAAATGCTCTGAATTAAGCAAATATAGGGAAATTAAACTTTTCAATTGTGTTTGGTTTTTTCCACTAAAGAGTATAAAATAAACTGGATCTGTTTGGTTTAAAACTTTTCATAGAATTCTCAGAATGATTTGCTAATAACAATTATAAGCTCACTGAAAAGTGGCAGTGGCTGAATCTGAACCGTAGAGTCCAAAAGTCCCCATCGGAATACCTACAGTCTACTTCTTTGGGCATCACTCTTGAAAAATTTGCCAAAGTTTTATTATGACAATATGGCAATATATTGGAGTCTTGGGCCTTTGACCTTTTTTAGTGAGCGTAATGAGTGCTAATAGCAGATTAATATCTCTAAAGTCTGCTCAGATGTTCCCTAAATTCACTAGAAACATGGTACCTAAAGAATTGGCCTTGGCAGCTGTGTAAGCTATGCTCCCCCAGGGAGGACAAACGTGCAAGAGCTGGAGGAGCAGGGCCGGGAGAAAGTCCCTTACACAAATCCCCGCGTTGGCAGGGCTGAGGTTAAGAGCATTTGCTTCTACCTTTAGGCTGTAACTAAGCATGTAAGCGTGGCAGCAGTTTTATGACATGGATATTTTTCAGCTTCTACCACAGGAATGCAGGACCAAAAGATTTTGTTTTACTAGTGAAACTTTCTTGATTTCCAGCAGTTGGGTGCAAAAATGGAAGCCAAATGATACAAATGGAGGTTTGTTTGCTTTGTGTTACACTGGTTGCTGGAACTTTGGGTTTTAACGTGGTAAGCATTGCGGGAGATCCTGAAAAGTCCCCATTCTGGAAAAGAAAGATAAATCAAACCACTGTGTCTCGTCACTTTTCTTCATCAGTCTTGCCTATGACTGACATGACATTTTGAGTATGACATAAATACATTCTGCCCTTGTTATAAGGCTCTCTGTTATAATACACGTCAATATAAATCTGTTCTGTCCTGCTTGCATGTGCCATCAAAGCTCACGATACCCTTGGTATAGCAACACCTTTTACAATATTCCAAAGTAACCTGCAGACATTGCTGTAAAAATCTACACTGGCTATTATTTTCATGTTTTGCCAGTTTGCAGACATAATATGATCATGGTCTCTAGATATTTAACTAAAGAAAAGGAGCTTTCCATTTTATTTCAAATGATTGAGAATTACCTAGTTTTTCAAGTCAAATTCTTTCACATAATTCCAAAAGCCTAAAACATAATTTATAAAACAGTTGAGATTGATGAACGACCACAACATTTTTATCTACCTCATAACTTACAAAGCTCAGTCATTTACACCTAGACTGCACAAACTTTACTTGTGTCCAACACAGAGTCTAATTTGAAGCACATGCATCTACTCCAGTGATCAGGAGGAAATGTTAGGGCTCTACCACCAAGTCTTTACATTCCCTTTTGAAAATCAGTCACTACAAATCCTAAAACATTATTAGGCTACTTTTATGCCCACTTGTATAGTTATCCCAAACAAAAACAAGATGCAAATAAGAAACCTAAATAAGACTTAGGATAAAAAATTGACAGTAAATATATTTTTAAATAAATGAACACATTTTTGACTATTTTGAAATTGTTTCCTTAAAATTTGTTTTTAATATGTGACCTTTTAAGTATTTCAGGGTGTGATAGGGGAGGAAAATAAAGCAGATGCCCCCAAACCCACTGAGCCTAAGAAGAGAAACAACATTTTTAAAAGGCCAGGGGAAATGTACTTTCATTCCTCCTGCCTTTTCTTCATAGGGAAAAAAGAAGGAAAATTTTTCTGCTGCTTCTCCATTTTCTCTCCCATTTCCATGTCGGGCCACTGGAAAATGGTGACGAACATGGAGTGGAGTTTTTCAGGAAAAAAACTCTTTTTCTTTTTTAAGACTTTTTTATCTTCTTGCAAAACGTTCTTTAAGTGCCACAAAGCTCAGTGCTGGCCACTCTAGCCCAGGCACGTGAAGCCAGTTATAGCAGCAGCACAGGCATCGGCCAGCATTTCCCAGCCTCCTCAGGCCCGAGGGTGTATTTCTGAAAAAACCTACCAGCCCTCTGATGGGACGTTGCTGCAGTACATCCAATACAAATTAATGTTTTGAACCATGTCACGTTCCACTTGGATTGTCCTCCCTGTTTTAGGGAGAAGGAATCATCTGTGCGGGGGCTGAATTTGTTGGTTCGTTTTGGGGGGGGGGTTGTTTTGTTTGGGGGTTTCTTTGCAATGATTCCACAAGCAAGCTTTTTCAAACCGAGATCTAACGATAAGGCAGAGCCGCACTTCAGAACGCAGATCTGCCGACTGTGCTCCAGCTGCCCTTGGCCAGGGACCGGAGGTGAAGGAGGACATCCTCGCCTGCATCTTCTCTGGGGTACGGAGCCAGGTCCTCAGAGACACAGATTAGCCACATATTCCTCCCATTTCATTGTCCCCATCTAGCTACGATTTACAATTATAGGGATCAGTGTAACGGTGCAGGAATTCATTCCAGGGCCAAGCAAGCTCTGTTGGCCTTCTACACTCCCTCTTATGTGGTGGCCCCAAAGAAGGATAAAAAGAGCCTCTTTTGGACAAAGCACGAGTCAGGTGATGTACAAATGGAAATGCAACACTGGTAAGGGCATGCAAAAGGTGGAACCCATACATACTGTAGATAAAATGACTTACAGGCATGCCACGGCCTCTAAGAAGCGTTGGGCTCTCACAGAGCCAAATGACTGTGCTGTGAGAAGTTACCCCTGTGGTGGATTGCACCTTCTGTTTACCCTGATGACGCCCCTTGGCAAGAGGTGCTGCATGCCCGGCTGCTCGAGCTCCAGCAGGCAAGCTCTGGCTTTGAGGGCTGATCAGATCAAACACTTAATAGTGTTTAAACTCCGGTGACTGGTGGAGAGAACTAATGGAAAACAAAATTGGAAAGTCCTGTTGTATTTTCCTCACTACGTAGCTACAGATTACCTTCTCTTCTATGAAAGTTTCTCAAGCTGGCTGCAGTCTGGCAGACATTGGTTTGCCAGCACCACCTGAACTTTCTTTGACAGTACTAGAAGTCTCACACAGAAACACCAGGTATGTGGTGAGCACTGAAGAAGAATGGGCACCACTAAGCCAGTATAAATATGCTGGAAATATTTCACGAAGTGCCCAAAGTGAGATTTATAGTCACCATCCATTCAAAAGCATTTATAACAATTCATACAGTGTCATACATTAGAAACTAGCATTTTTTCCAACGGAGGTCAGTCTGCTTTCACTCAAAATCTGTGCACTGCTTATGATCACATAGTATCTCATAAACAGCTCATTCCAATATGAGTTCTGTATATTGGAAATGATGCATTAAACCTAATTTCACAGTATTCTGTGATACAGAAGAGAGTTTTATTGGATTTTTGTTGCTGATTTTTCACATGTTAATAGGGCTGAGTGCG